ATGGAGTAAGCAAGCTGGCTCTGCTAAAGCAGCAAGGCACTCTGAGAAAAGCATTGTATGTACCAAGTCAAAACACCACCACCACCAACCTCAATCAACTCAGTGAAGACAGCCCAAGATCCTGACTCCTAGAGCCCTGGAATTAACATTGTCCTCTAGACCAGGGCTACTTAAACTTTTTCTACTAGAGACTCCTTTTCACCTTTCGGTAACCTTCATTGGTGTTGTGCAGTGCAAAGTGTGCATGCTTTGTGTTCAGAACCAAGGCTTCAGTGAAGTTGTTCAATGCAACACAGACAAGCGCTACCAGACATACCTTGGATTAATCATGCATTTGATTTTGAATTAATTTTTGGTTGTTGCATGTTCAGAAACCTTTCACTGTTGCCAAATTTTTTGTGACCCCGTATGGGGTCATGACGTCACAGTTTATGAAGCACTGATCTAGACCACTGGCCCTGTTCCCAGCCCAGACTCCATAGTCAATCATTGAGGGAAGCAATCGCCGCGGAGAAGCTCAGCTGCCACCACCAATTTCTGACCAAGTGCCACTGATAGGTGGGCAAGCCCAAGAGTCCTGAGAACATCAGCACCCCCTGGTCCTGCTCCCAGCACTGTCCTCAGACTAAGCCATCATCCTGGAAACAATTCTCAGGAATTCAGACTAGCAACTGAATGTTGCAGTTACATCTACTGAAGACAGAGACATTGCTTGACAAATAGTTTTTCATTCATTCATTCAATAAATGTTTGTTGGTAGATCAAATCAAGAACCTACACAAGGTGGTTCCAATCTGGTTCACACATTGGAAGTTCCCTATGTCCCTGCAACCCCTCTTTCTGACTGAATGGTTCTTCCCAGAATTTCCATTTAAGGACCATGCCAAGGCCAGCCATGTCTCATGCCTCTCCAAGTTATACTCTAGATTTCCTCTACCATCTTCCCCCTCTCACCAGTACAGTACCTGGCACATAGTAAGAGCTTAATAAATGTTTGTTGACTGACTGCTTTTCTAGTTATATTTTACACTATTCTCCTTTGAATCAATCCTCTATATTCAGATACACTAAGACTACTTAACTTTTCCTAATTTCGTCCTGACCGTTCCCATCTCTTTTTATTTCCCATGCTCGGAATGGATTTACTCCAATTCTCTCTGCCTGTTGAAATCTTTCTCTTCCTTTAAGACCCAGCTCAGGTAACACCTCCATATAACCTTGTCTAATTCTTTTACCTAGAAGTAATCTCCCCTCCTTAATTTCTTACTTTTCTTTTTTTTTAACCTTTGATGAACTTGTCACACTCCACCCTGAATAATTATTCTTATTTGCATTCATGTCTTATAGATCACAAACTCTTTGTAGACAGGGATTATGTTGGTTTTCACCTTGGTTTCCCAGGTGCCTAGGACAATACACTGCATAAGCACATAATAAATGTTTGTAGAATTTAACACAGTTTTTGCTCATTAGGTTGGTTGGCACTTATTTTCCTTTATTCTATTGTAACAAAATACACTAACTCTTATAAATTCATTAGAATTGGAAAGGGCAGATTGAGACAGAAGAGTGAATACAGGTCATTATAGTGCCATTAAGAAGAAATGACAAAGCCAGCTGAATAGGTTCACCATAAATTTATATTATCTAATTTCATTTGGGTCCTCATTTGTATGACAATCCTTTTATGCTTCCCTAATTGACTCTCTATCATACTGCTACAGAAGCTATTCCCAACTATCTCTTCACTCCTCAGACCTCTCAAACCTACTCCTCCTTCCCTCTCCTTCAGCAGAGGACTTTGCCTCCTACTTAATAAAGGCCATTTCTTCTTCTCCCCACTTCTATAACCTCTACATCTTCCTGTCTTCTCTTTGGCTACCGTCTGACAAAAAGTTGGCTTTTATCCTTGTAAGGCCAACTGTTCTGCTAATTGCCTAGATTCCCTCCTCTCCCACATACTTTGAGTACTTACCACTTTGATCATATTCTCTCTCTGTCTCTCTCTGTCACTGTCTCTGTCTCTGTCTCTCTCTCTCTCTGTCTCTCTGTCTCTCTTCCCTCCCTCCTTTTCTCTTTTTCCCTTCCTCTCTCTCTCTTGCTCTCTTACTCTCTCATTCTCTCTCTCCTATCTATTGGCTCCTACCCTACTATCTACAAATATGCTTCAGTCTAACCCATTCTTTCAAAAGCTTTTACTTGACTCTGCCATTCACTATCATCCTATGTCATAAGCAAACTCCTAGAAAAACAGTCTAATCTCACTGACTCTACTTTCTCACCTTCCATTCATTTCTCAAATCCTTGAAATCTGGCTTCTTACCCCACTATTGTTGTTGTTGTTGAGTCATGTCTGACTTTTAATAACCCCTTTTGGGGTTTTCATGGCAAGGATACTGAAGTGGTTTGCCGTTTCCTTCTCTGGCTCATTTTACAAATGAGGAAACTGAGGCAAACAGGATTAAGCAACTTGCCCAAGGCCATAAAGCTAGCAAGTGTCTGAGGTCAGATTTGAACTCATGTCTTCCCGACTCCTGGTCTGATGCTCTATCACTGCACCACCTAGCTGCCCCCCAAGGGAAAGGCCATGCCTTTATCGTCTACATGTGGCAATAAACCTCCCATTCTCTGAGCCAAACTACAAAAATACACTACTGCTAGATTCCACTAGATGGAGCTAGTCTTAAATATGTGCATGAGGTCACTTTCCCTTCCCCAGCATTTGGTGTCTCTATTACATTGCTCCACATTTGTTACTGTCATGTTGCTCCACCAAAATGTTGTATAGGTATCTCAAATCCAAGTACAAAACAAAATTCATTATCTCAACCTTATCAAACTTATCACTCTTCCAAAATTCTTCATTTCTGTTTGAAGGCCTCACCACTCTTCTAGTCACCCTGGGATAAAACCTTAGAGTTATCCTCAATTCTTCATTCTCCCTTATCCCCCATATCTAATCAGTTGATAGCACTCATCAATTCTAACCCCACAACTATCTCACATTCATTCTCTTCTCTCCACTCATATACTTGCTACAGCAATGCAGGTCTTCATCAACTCTCAGCTGTACCATTTCAATAACATCCTGATTGGACTCACAGCTTCCAGTCTTTCCCCTCTGCAAACAATTCTCCAAACACCTGCCAAAAGGCTCAAGTCTGAACATGCCCCTCCCCTGCTCAAGAATTTTCAATGGCTCCCTCTTCCCTTTAGAGTAAAATACAAACACCTCAGTTTAGCATTCCAAGTCCTTCACAATGTAACTCTGGCCAACCTCTCCAAATACTTCACATAACTCGATATCTTAGCCAAACTAGCCTACTTCTCTCTCAAATGTAGGCTCTATTTCTTCTTTGAATAGTTTGTCTTCACATCTGGAATATACTTCCTGCGCATTCTAACTTGGAGAATCTCTAGATTCCTCCAAATCTCAGTCTATGTCTCACCCTGGCAGGAAGCCTTTCCTTATCCCCTAATGCTAAGTCTTCTATTCCTCCTCAATTATCTTATATATGCCTGTCACTTTGTTTTTTTTTTTAAATCTCCCAGCAGAATGTAAACTCCTACAGATCAAGAACTGCTTTTCATTTATGTCTTTGAATACCCCAAGTCTACCACAGTGCCATTCGCACAGTAGGCAGTTAAATGAATGCTTGTTCAACTAAACTGAATAATCTTTTAATACTTCAAAGCTTCTGGGATTCCATTGGTGTGGCTATTACTTCCACTAAAACAGTTCGTCTAAAACAAAAATACATACTACTCATTAAATTTACTCAGATGACACCATTGTTGAAATTTCTTAGTATAATCCTCATTTCAATGTTGTTTCCACATAGAACTCTCTTGTATTTTTATTAAACTCAAATTTGGGGGTGGGAGTGGGGGGGGGCAGAGAACCATGGCCCTTACAGATAAAATGTCCAATATAAAAGTGGCTAAAATCATTGCCAGCTTACTTGGAAGGGTACAACAGCTACTATATAGAATCAGACCAACTTGAGGAACTATAAGGCAAAGGAAGATCTAAGTCTGTCTTTTGCAAAATAGTTACCTAAATTCTGTCTTCCCAACCTATGGGGAGCGCATCCAAGTCTTTCTGTACATCTTCCATGTGGAATCTACTCAATACCCTAGAATTCTTCCTCTCAAGCTGTCCATCTGTTATCCTTCATTTTGTTGCATAATTACCCACCCCTCTGTTTATGAATGTCCCCAATGATGGTTTTATGCCTCTTCCAAGCAAATCATTGTTAGTATACTGCTGTGGCCTATCCCCACCATGCATCTGTCTGTAGCCCTTTTGTATTACCCGCAATTTTGATTCATCTGAGATTGTGGTATTCCATGATTCCCAGTCATATAGCATCCCTGGGAGAATGTTGGTGCTTAAAAAAATATGGGCTTTTGTGGCCGTGAGCAGCTTAGGATGATCGAGAGTGCTGCCCACTTTCCCAAATGGAATTCAGCTGGAGATCCTCCTCCCATTCAAATCTGGGACATTGTTCTTGGCTGTGGGACTGGCTATTCAATCACTGCTGGGAAAAGAACTCAGAAGGGATGTTCTATGAAGAGTGGGTCAAAAGCACCATCTGCATGTGTGAAAGACATCACTTTTCTGGGCACAGACACATATATCTAATAAAAAAATTAATATTATTTGCTAAATTCACTCAGCATCATCTTTGAGATTTTTCAGTTCAATCCAGTCTGAATATTATTTCCATGTAAGACTCTCCAGCAAGTGTGTTTTTCTTCAATCCAAAGTTGGTGGGGGGGGGGGAGGAAAAACCCTGGACCTTAGAGATAAAATATCCAATGCAAAAATGACTAAAATCATTTAGTCAGCTTTGCTTGGAAGGATACAATAATAGCTACTAGGTAGAATCTGATCAACTTGAGGAAATAAGGCAAAGGAAGATCTGGGCATGTCTTTTGCAAAATAATTACCTAAATCCTGTCTACCACCCCAGAAATAAACTGTAAACATAACTTACTGTCATAATGTGATTCATGGTCTGGAATGGACTAGCGATAAAGCTATCATTGGAATCCAGGGAGTTCGATGCTGAGACAACGGTTTCCTAGAAGAGGAGGGGGAGAGGAAAGCAGAAGCAGAGAAAGAAAGATGGACAATTATTTTAGCAGGTCACTTACTTTATGACCATTATTTATTACCTCATTCTGAATTTTCAATAAATCAAGGACATCCAAAGCTCCTCCACTCACCTTATTAAATCAGAATGCAAATCCCATAGGTGACAAGATCCAGTGATTCATTCCACAATTACTAAGCACCTATTGGCAATGCAATGAGGGAGAGGCACAGAAGAAACAATGTTCTGACTTGCTCCTAATTCACTGAGTCTGAGAGTAGGAAGAGCAGACCCTCACCTGCTTTACTGCTAAAGCATTGCCTGGGAGGGCAATAAATTCACGCCCTTTTTCCTTAGTCCCTGTGGAGGAGGCCCAAGACGTTCCAAATGCAACTTCCAAAGTGCTTTGATGAAACTAATTTTATTCCAAGGCAAGAAATCATAGCATATTTTAAAACAATAACTCATTGCTACTGTCCTCCATAACCTCCCAGATTGAGATGTTTGCTCTAGAGCAGTTAGAGGTTGCATTAGCTGCTGAGGGACAGCGTTTGAATTGGTTGGTTTTTCAACTTGGGCAGCCTCTCTAGGGCACTGCAAAATTTTTACAATTTGTCTACTAAAAAAGAAAATAATAATTCTCCAAAAATTTTAATAAGTAAGTTGTCTGTGAATTCCTAGAGGAGAAGCATTTTTACCACTGAAAAATTGTCTCAGGACTACTCATCTGGAAGAGAGGCAATTTATTATTTTTAATATCATCATCTAGCATTTACATAATGGTGTAAAGTCTGCAAAGCAATTTACAAATATTATCTAATCTTACCTTCAAAACAATCTATTGTTATCCCCATTTTGCAAATGAGTCAACTGAGTCAGGCAGAGGTAAGTAATTTGTTCAGATACACACTCCTAGTTCAGTGCTTTTCTTGCCCACCCTCAAAGCTTGCAGTCAGGAAGTTGAATCTTCCTGACACCTGGGCCTGGAATCAGGAATATTCATCTTCCTGAATTCATATCTAGCCTCTGACACTTCCTAGCCATGTAACTGTAGGCAAGTCACTTAACTGTGTTTGACTCAATTTCCTTATCTGTAAAATGAGTTGGAGAAGGAAATGACAAGCCACTCCAGTATGTTTGCCAAGAAAATCCCAAAATGGAGTCATGGAAAGTCAGACATGATGGAAACAACTTGACAACAAAAAAAATTCCTCCTCCTCTATTCTGAGTTCTGAATAAGAAATTTCACTGTAAATTAAGGAAATGAGGAGACAGGTTTAGGGGGCATTGGTAAACAGATTTTTCTGGTCTACTGTTCTACTTATTCCCCTTTCCACCCCATGCCCTTTCCTACTCACTACCAATAATGCCATGGGTACTATAGCCACACCTACATTTCTATGAATCTAAGTACTCAAAATCAGGCTGGTTCCATCTCTGACATAGCCAAACTCTACTCCGCCCGTGCCCTTCGTTAGTGCCTTGTGCCACCCACAACACTCTGCCCTGCTGTACTTCTCTCACCTCAAGCATCCCAGTGTCCAAGGTCACCTGAGGGCCTCTACTTAGACACACCTACCAACCCATTTCTCTCCCTCAGTAATATATCTACCACTTTTGACCATAGCCTTATGATACTAAATTTTTCCTATAACCTTTTTATACCTAAAATCATGCAAAACACCCATACATAAAGATGCAGTATAAGAGGTCAGACAGGAAGTTGCCTCTTACTACAAAACCTACAAGAGGGCATTCTCAAGATCATGTTCCAAATACCTTTCTGATACTTACCCTCCACCCATCTCAAAAGCTGAGAATATTTTAAAATTGAGCCACTGTTGACCCGAAATTAATTTTTACAAACATTTTCATCATGGAGATGTCTTTTGGGCAGCGAGGTGGTCAAGTATACAGAGTACCGGCCCTGGAGTCAGGAAGACTCATCTTTGTAGTTCAAATCTGGTCTCGGACACTTACTAGCTGTGTGAGCCTGGGCAAGTCACTTAACCCTGTTTGCCTCAGTTTCCTCATCTGTAAAATGAGTAGGATAAGGAAATGGCAAAGCACTCCAGTATCTTTGCCAAGAAAACCCCAAAGGGGGTCACAAAGAGTCGGACATGACTGAAAACTGAATAACAACCTTGTCTTTACATTCAGTCCATGGGCCCTGGAAAACACTCAGAATACATGAGGTGGGCCATAATTCCAAATCTATGATAAAGAAATATTCCAGAGTTCACCTCCTATTATTGTTTTCAAAACCGAGTCATTTTTTTTACTTTGTCTCAATGCACTAAAAGTATAAAAAAAGCTACTGAGAAGCCTATTTAATAAGTAAACATTATATATAGGCATATAATATATTTATTTGCTCTTTTAAAGGGGCTTCTGTTCTTGTGCAGATAGAGATACATGATGAAACTGAAATAGACACTTTTTGAATCCTAGCACACTGAACGCTATATAGCTTGGCTTTATTTGAGTCCTAGATCACACTGCCATCTGGTGGTACTCCAAAAATTTACGAGTATTCGTACAGCTAAACTGCATCATCTGAGCTAGGACCATCACGCACCCACAACAGAAGAAAAATGAAATTGGGAGTTAGCTAGCCAATGGTTAATATCTCAGTGTATATTATTTGAAATATTAGTACTGAGATCACTACATTTAAAAATAAACGATATAAAAATCTAGAGGATAATGTTTTTTAATCATTCACTCTAAGCACCTAAGCAATATCTTGAACTTAGTCTATGCTTAACAGATTTGGTCCAATTGATTTTTTTTTCTTCAAGCTTGTAAACCTATTTAATTTAGACTTTCATAGATGGAAGTAGCCTTAAAGTCTTTCTAGCTCAACCACTTGTTAGGTTCAGCACCCACAAACAGGATTCTTCTTTGCACATATGTTATTATGCATTTTGCTCTTGTTCTAAAAATAAAGCAAAGATAGATAAACAAGTCTATCCTAGAAGGAAACTAAAAAGAGCAGAAGATTATATGAGAAACGATCTTATTTGTAATTTTTCTTTTCAAATAAGTGTGTTCATAGTCAGGCCTCTCTTAAAAATATTTCAGTTGACCATTAAAAAAATAGGACTGTCAACTTTTTCTCTTATTAATAATAGTATTATTATGAAGAGTCCTATTATTTGGAACTTAACCAGATTCCTAATTCTAATTAAGAAAAATTTAGGAGTATCAGTCAACATAGATTCAGCTTCTACCTAGAATTACTTCATTCAAAATTTTTTTTGGTTTTCACATTGCTTTTATATCCAAATATATCCTTTCCCCTTACACCTACTAAGCCATGCCTTGTAATAAAGAATTAAAAAAAGAAAGAGGAAAAAAAAGCAGTTCAGTGGAACCAATCAACATACCAACCATATCTGACAATATATTCAATATTCCACACCCATACTCCCTGCCCCAGGAAAGGGGAGTATATATTTTCTCAGCTCTTCTCAGGACCAAGATTAGTCATTATAATTATACAGCATCCAGTTTCTTTTTTTTTTCTTTTTTTCAAAAACATTATTAAATACCTTGTACAGGTAAGGCAAAGTCCTGGGTGCTATAGAGATTTCCTTATGTAAGGGAGGAGCTGTAATGAGGCAATCAGTCACACCACCCCACTTAGAGTAGCTAACATAATTCACTAACCCTGAATTCACTAACACCTGTCAGGTGGTAACACCTCTATTGAATCAATCAGTTAATCAAAAGCATTAATCTAATGTACACTGTGCCATGCCCTGGGGGATTTCTATTAAATGGCAAGCTAGTTTGGAACCCAAAATTTCAGTGTCTGACAGAACAGAAGAGAAAACAATTTCAGTCAAGCCTAAAAGTAAATTGTTAGCTGGGGAAGAGCAGTCTTTTCCACCTACCGCTTTATGATAAGAAGACAACCTTGGGGACTTCAGAGGGTCAGAGGATTTAGACTTCTCATTGGCATCCTAGCAGCAGCCCTGGGATAATAGAGATTTATAGTAGTGACCAAAGCAGCTAAGTGGTACACCGGATTAAGTGCTGGACCTGGTGTCAGGAAGATTGATCTTCGAGTTCAAATCTGGCCTCAGACACTTCCTAGCTATGTGACTCTTAACCCTATGTGCCTCAGTTTCCTCATCCATAAAATGAGCTGGAGAAGAAAATGGCAAACCAGTCTAGTATCTTTGCCAAGAAAACCCCAAATGGGATTTTGAAGAGTAGCACATAACTTAAATGACTAAACAGCAACATAGTAGTGTGACATTAGGAGCCAAGGACAAACTAAAAACATGAAAGGAAAGGTAGCTTCAAGATCCTACAAAGATCTCAGCAGAAAGCTATACCATACCTAAAAGACCACTTTCCCTCTAGATTCTAAAAGTACTTGTGATAGAATGTTATGGCACTGGGGGAGGGAGCCAGAGAAGAGTGATGAAGATGTTTGGACCAGCTGTTCTTACTGTACCACTGTATCCGCGTCTTTTAGTCATGCCTGACTCTTTGTGACCCTTGTGACCTCATTTGGGGTTTTCTTGGCAAAGATACTGGAGTGGTTTGGCAAATCCTTCTCCAATTTATTTTACTGATGAGGAACTGAGGCTAATAGGGTAAAGTGACTTGCCCAGGGTCACACAGCTAGTACATATCTGAGGCTGAATTTGAACTCAGGAAAATGAGTCTTCCTGACCTCCAGGCTAGTGCTCTATCCACTGCACCACCTAGTTACCCCTCTTTGAAAGAGGAACACAGTAAATAAATGGAAAGGATAGGATGAAAAACTCATGCCTTCCTGAGTCAGACCAAAGAATCTTCTGCAGATTCAAATACAGCTGAACTGACACTAATTCTTTCTTATGGCAGCTAGGTGGTAAAGTGCATCGAGTACTTGGTCCTGAGGCAGGAAGGCCCGAGTTCAAATCTTACCTCGGATATTTCCTATCTGTGTGACTCTGGGTAAGTCACTTAACCTTAGCTGCCTCAGTTTCCTCATCTGTAAAATGAGCTAGAGAAGGAAACAGCAAACCACTCCAGTATCTTTTTAACCCCTGTTTGTCTAAGTTTCTTAAAATACTACATACAAGACCATTCTATTAAAGAACAAGTACTATACCTCTACTCTCCTTGAAACTGAAAAAAGGGGATAATACTAGCACATCCTTCCCAGGGTGGTTGTGAAGATTAAATGAGATATTAATTGTAAGCACTCAGCACAGTGCCTGGCACACAGTAAGCACTATAGAAATGTTCACTATCATTATTCGGCAATCAAATCCAATACAACTTTGTGGTGGCATGCCTTACATTATTGCCATATTCAATTTTCATACAGACATGCTCCACACAAGATTGCCTGATGTTGTGGTACAATTATACAGTATATCATAGACAGTGTGGGGTATCAGCAGGCTAGCCATGGAGCAAGGAAGGTGGATTCAGATCTTACCTATGCCTATATTGGCTCTGTGACCAATCATTTCATCTCTCAATACCCAGGGTAACTTTCCAAAACTATAAATTACTGAGCAGGTACTGACCCACTCCGGTAAAGGGAGTTTACTTATCAGTTTTCTTGTATGCCAGTAAGATCATAAGTACAGTTTAAAAAACAAAGCCACTATCAAGTTATGAAAACTTGATTAATGATATGTGACTGTCATTTAATTTTTTTTTCCTTTCAGAGGCAATTGGGGTTAAGTGATTCACCCAGGGTCATACAGCTAGTAAGTGTCTGAGGGCAGACTTCAACTCAGGTCCTTCTGGCTCCAGGGCTGGTGCTCTAACCACCGTACCACCTAGCTGCCCCTGATTATCACTTTATACAGCTGCTCCTATACCCCCTATTTTGTGGAACCAATTAATTACAAGGTGTGGGGCAGGCTTCTTCCTGTACCTTTTCTCATCAAGTAAACTATAAATTTCTGATGCAGAGGGTTCATGTCCCCTTATGTAACTTTGTAACACCCACAACACCTTGCATGCAATAGGTGCTTTTTTCCCCCCATTTCTTCCATTTTCTAACAACTATCCAAGGTCATTAAACCCAGTCAAATGTATTCAAATTGAAAGTGCTCACAGAATAATGTTGCTTTTACAGTCTACAATTCAAGTGGTTCTTTTCACCTAATGATGTGCTTGAAAAATAATTAGAACAGGCCTTTTAAGCTCTCCATTTGTACCAGATCTAACACCAATACCCATTAAAAAAAAAGTATGTGGCTTTATTCATTTTAAATTGTCTACAAATAACAAGATGAAAACATGAAATGTGTGGAAAGTATACTAAATGCTTAATTCTGGAAAGAATTAAAAGTTATAATTTCAAACAGTTTTATATAATTAAAATAATATTATGTTAAAGACATCTCTTTATCTGTCATACCTCTGGCTCTTTGTTTTTTGCTGGTATTCCAGTCATTTCTACTGAATTTTTTCTGGACAGTTGGGCAGCAACAGTTCCCTCAGAACACAGACAATTTATTAAATGCATTCCCACATGTCTGACATTCTGATAAAGAAACATAAGAAAGAATAATTGGGTTTTTCAAAGAGGTATATTCAACTCTATTCCCAAAGCCAAGGCTGGTTAATTTTCCTATATTCAATTTATAGGTCTCCCACACATTCACTTTCAAAGTAAAAATAGACAGCCAGGTAGGGGGATAGCATTACACACCTTTATTATGTTTCACAGACTAGGACACAGCATATTTTTATAAATGATACAGAAATCACCCCTACTTGCCCCTGAAGAGATGAGCCAAACAATGACACTTACTCTTAATTTTTTTTTTTACTTCCAATTTTGGGTCATAAAATCACAAACCTAGAGCAAGAAGTGACTTCAGAAGCCAATCGCCCAACACTCTTATTTTACTGATGAGGAAACTGGGATGCAGAGAAGTTAAGTGATTTGTTTACTATTTGACCAGATCTGATTTAATCAGTGTCCTATTGATAAATTAGTTAAAATAAAGAGGTAATTTCATAAAGCAAATATATGTACATATGCACATATGAAATTGTATGCTTTATGAAATTACTTCTTTATTTTATTTATTTATATATACATATAAATGTATTTTAAACTTTTAAAAATTATAAATGTATTAGGGAATGGCTGAACAAGTTGTAGCATATGATTGTGATGGAGTGTTATTGTGCTGTAGGGATGGTTTCAGAACATACATGGGAAGACCTTTATGAACTGATGTAAAGTGCAGTGAGAAGAACAGAGAGATTATTGTGCATAGTAATAGCAACATTGTAATGATGATCAATTGTGAAACACTTGGCTACTCTGATCAATATGATGATCCAAGACAATTCCTTTTTTTTTTTTTAAATATGGAACACTTCATGAATTTGTGTGCCATCCTTGCACAGGGGCCGTGCTAATCTCTGTATCATTCTAATTTTAGTATATGTGAGGCCAAAGCAAGCACGATCCAAGACAATTCCAAAGGACTCATGAAGAAAAAAATGCTATCTACCTCCAGAGAGAGAACTGATGAATTCTGAGAGCAAATTGAAGTAAAATTCTTTTGTTTTATTTATTTTTCTTTTTTTTACAATATGGCTAATCTGGAAATATGTTTTGCATGATTTCACATGTATAGTTGAGATTATTTTGCTTGCCTTCTCAGTGGAGGGGGAAGGAAGGAGAAAATTTGGAACTAAAATTTTAAAAAGAAAAGAACGTGTAAAAGAAATAAATAAATTTATTTTTAAAAATAAAACTTATGAAGGGGAATGATAGAAGATTATGAGCAATATCAACTCACAATAAAAAGAGAATATACAGAAGATAAAAAACAATTTAAAGAAAACTTTTCAGGTCAACTAGATAAGAAAGTTTGTCTCAGGGACATTTAAAGATAAAGCTGGAAGGAAGACAAAAACTGACAAAAGATAGAAAAAGATCTTAAGTTTTGAATAACCAACTCTTCTCAGTTTCAAGGATAGTAGAGGTATAGTACTTGGTGTTTAATAGAATGGTCTTGTATATAATATTTTAAGAAATGAAATAAATTTTATTTTTAATAAAAAGAAAAATCAGTTCAAGTAAACAAAAACTATTTTTGTATTTCCTATGTGCATGACACCACGCTAAGTGCTGTGAATTGGTGGGGTGGAAGAATATAAGATAGTCCCTGTTATTTGGGAATTACAGTCTACTTAGGTAGATAAGACACATATTTAAAATTTCAAAAGGCATAAAAGACAGACTCTATGACAATAATTCCATTATTGGGAATATACCCAGAAAGTGCTGTGAAAAGAAAAAAAAATCTTTGAAAATATTTTCACAGCATCATTATATGTAGTTTTTTTTAAAAAAGCAACCTGTGTGACCAACAATACAGGAATGATTAAATTAATTGTGGGACACTAATATGACAGAGGGTAACTAGGTGGCACAGTGGATAGAGTACCAGGCCTCTGGTGGCACAGTGGATAGAGCCAGGAAGACATCTTTCTGAGTTCAAATCTGGTCACAGACACTTACTAGCTGTGTGACCCCAGGTAAGTCACTTAACCTTAGCTGCCTCCGTTTCCTCAACTGTAAAATGAGCTGAAGAAGAAAATGGCAAACCACTCTAGTATCCTTGCCAAGAAAACCCCAAATGGAGTCATGAAGAGTCAGACACAACTGAAATAATACAAAGGGGTAAACAAGCAAATCCCTAAGCATTTATTGAGTGCCTACTGTATGTCAGGCACTGTGCTAAATACTCTAGATAGAAAAATAAAAGCAAAACAGTCCCTGCCCACAAGGAGTTCACATTCTAATGGAATAATAAATAGCTAACATTTATACAGCATTTACTATGTGTCAGGCACAGTAAGTACTTTACAATTATTACATCATTTGATCTTTACAACAAACCTGGGAGATAGGCGCTGTTATTATATCCATTTTAGTGATAAGGAAACTGAGGCAAAGTTTATGTGACTTGCCTGGGGTCACATGACTAAGAAGTGTCTGAGGCTGGATTTGAACTCAAGCCTTCTTGACTCCAGGTCAGGTGCTCTACCCTTGCACCTCCTCACTGACACACATGTAGATAGATAGATAGATAGATAGATAGATAGATAGATAGATAGATAG